TATGCAAAACAAGTCTAATATACCGCTTTTGTCGATCGCAATCTCCGGCTGGTGGGCTGACCAGGGTGCTATTACTTACCCTTGATACTTCAGTAGGCGCTGCCAGGCTCTTGGAGTCGCTTTCCACGCGCTTGGCACATGGGGTGATGTGCACAGCCACGTGGATAAGCTAGCGACCTTCACTGCTTGGCCACCACACCAATCCCGCCCTGTTCGTCACGATCCATTGCGCCAATTGTACCGACAGACGGCCCTCCAGGGCTGAGGTGCGTCATGCCTGGCTCCTGCAAGGGAAACCCAGCCGCGGCTGCTGATGTTTGAATCCCCAAAGTCGGAGTCGTTGTCGGAGTCGTCGTCAGGCCCTCCAGCTGAACCACCACTACTATGTATGCTGCTAGTTTCAAGTTGGTAACCGTTTCCCCACACACCCGCGCCCGGCTCCTCCAGCTGGCCATGATGCGACACGGTACATATCATTTCAGCTACCTGCAGCCTCTGCCCCACCAAGCCTCTCCCATGATAAGGCACCCAAGGCACCCCGGCTACCGCCTTGTCAACGGCTGCCCACGGCTTGGCCCGAGTACTACTCCAACCCTGTCGTGCCATTTTTTGCTTCTTGGCGGACCCTAATTTTGATCGTCCAAACTTAGTCTCGATGGGCACTACATGTGCAATCTTATAGTAGCCGTTGCGCAGTGGATGGGCTACTTGGTACTCGCGATCCCTACTCTAAACGGTTTTTTACTCGACCTCCAAACTACAGTATACCCTGCCATCACATGACGCCTCTTCTGATCATCACCTGTCTAGTCTATCCTAAACTGAAGAACCCCCCCTTTTCTAGATAACAACTAATCATTCTTCATATCTAGTAGTCTCCGTCTTACGATTCTACTTAGCGATCGAGATTTGGATGGAATCGCATTCAAAAGCATGCTTTGACTAAATGAAGTAGTGGAACGCACAGGTCGTATTCGCGAGCCTTTGCTACAAACGGACTACTTGCAGCTGAACTCGCCCCTCTTTGCATGTGCATCTGTCTGTCTACATGACCCAAAGCACGTCTTTGCTCGTGGCAGGTTGACCACAAATGGACGTGTCGTATTCAGCCTTGCTAGATTCGTCGGTTCGATTGATTATTACCTTTCGACGAATTTCCTTTCTACTACACGGAAGCATAAATTCCTCCGAAGTTCCGGCCAGGTAGAACCTAGTACCTGCCTTAGTCATCCGGTTCCTACCTTGCCCATTTGCCGTCTTTATAATTAAAAAAAACAGTACTACTATTTACAAAGGATTGACCCACTTTTTTGAAAAGTTTACGCACGTAATTACTCGACTGCACAGGCAGAATTGAGCTAGCCCAAACACTAGCTTCAATCAGTAAGATTACGTATGTGCATAATACGTTTTATGTTTTTCATAAGACAAGGAGAATCGAACTCCTGGTCCTTACACATTATGCCGGGGAATACCGGGACAGGGACATCCAAGTAGACAAGACATTCTGCTGCACAAACCGGGACTTGCGATGACATCAAGTGCTACATACACCAAAATCTTACTCTCCCAACCGCTCTTACCAGGACAAATCACACTTCTCGGAGGGAATCGGATGTTGACAATAACATGTATAGTATTATAGTACATTGATTACAAACGAAATCTACGCCAGGAACCCCCGTGTTTTCCAACTTCTAACATACCGTCGTACAATCTCATCATCAACACTGCCAACACCCCTCATGGCTGCCGAGTCCTTCTGACTCCTCTCAGTACTTAGCAATACACCTCCACAACTCATTCTAGTAAAGTCGGCTTCTAAGAAATCTACAAGTCGCTTTGCAGGATTCAGATCCGCGTTGCCCGGGGCAGCTTCGTGAGAAAACGACCGGACACGCTTTATCCACTCCGTGAACGGTATGACGTTCTTCTCTGGAATGCCAAGCTCCGAAGCAAGGAGGGGTAGCATCTCGCTCCAGGGCTGACGAACCGGATTGTCGATGTGGTAAATGCCCCCGGCGGTAGATTCGCCGAGTGCAAGGTCCGCACATACTGCCGCTACCGCGTCAACGGGTGTCCAGCTCACTGGACCCTCGAACTTCGGTAGCGCCTTCAGTGTCTGGGAGCTCTTGATGAGGAAAGGTAGGTGTTCGTTCTCGTTCCAGTAGCCTGAGGCCGAGCATCCGGCGACTTGGCCGAGTCTCACTGCCATGACACTGAAGCGGGAACTGTGCTTGTGGAGTGTCTCGTCGAGCATGCGTTCGCATACAAATTTAGCATCTCCGTAACCGTTGGGTAGAACATGCTCAATCGTAACCCGCTGTTCGGGGATGTGAGGTGTCCCTTCGTGGATGGGATAATGTCCCACAGTTGCAATGGAAGATATGAATTGAAAGACAACTTTGGAATCCAACGATGAATGAGCAGAAATTAGTGCAGCAAAGTCGATTAGGCTGCGAAGAACGCGGAATTGCGGAACAAAAGCCGAGAAGGGTTGTTTGGCGTTCATGGGCCAAGCATTGTGGACGATGTGCGTGACAGATTTGACAAGGTGGTCATAAGTGGATTGTGGCAAGCTGAAGAATGGCTTCGTCATATCTACCTCGAACACGGAAATCTTTGCCGATGCTGAAGGAGAAAGAGTAAGGTCCCGTGATTTGAGAGCAGCGAGCTGGCGTCCGAGAGGATCCAAGTCCGAAGATCGGTTGCGCCGATTGAAAGCTATAACCGAGGATACGGTTGGAAGGTTGGCATAATGGGCGACCATGTGCGATCCAAGACTACCAGTGGCGCCGGTGATGAGAACGCATTGCCCAGTCGGACCAGTATCGTCAGTAGTTTGCTCTACTTGCGCAGGCAGTGCGAATCCGGTGGTCATCGATTCGATGAATTTGTCCGTTGCCGCCCTTCTTTCACCGTGGCGAAAATCCTACTAGTTCAGTTAGCCAGTCAATCAACAGAGATCGGAATCATACACACCTCTTGCTGAACGGGCTTTGAAGGGACAGTCAAGCGCTCGAGTTGCTTGCCACTTGCTGTAGCAATGATGACTCGCTCGCATCTGACCTCTTCCACATTGCCATCGCTCCAGTCAACGTGTCCGTAGCCTACACTGTGCAGGACCTTCTCCCATGTCTGAGGAGGGGCGACAGCATGCTCCCTACCATCCTCGAAGAGCCACCAGCCCTCGAAAACACCAAAGACAATATCACACCAATACATGGGCTCGGTCATCTCCAGCAGCATCAACACACCGTCCGGTCGGAGCATCTTCCGGATGTTGGCAGTGGATACCGGAAGACTGCGTGTGGCATGAACTGCATTACTGGCAATGACGACGTGTTGGCTTTGCAACAGATCGGCCGCAGGCTCCTTCTCGATGTCGTGGACCCTGAACTTCATGAAGGGGTACTGCTTGTACTTCTTCCTCGCCGCAGCAACGAAGCTAGGTGCCAAATCAGTGAAAGTGTACTCAATATTGACACCCAAGGTGGCGAGTAGCGGCACCAAGCTGTTGGTCGTGGCGCCAGTGCCGGCTCCCATCTCAAGGATCTTGAGAGGACCATGTTCAGGGCGGCGAGAAGGCGATGTCGCAAGGCGACGAAGGAAGTCGCCCATCTGAGCATAGTAGAGCTTGTTCAGAGGAAAGTCAGCATAGACAGCTCCAACTAGCTCACGACCGCGCTCGGTACCGAAGATGAGTTTGATACCATCTTCTTTGCCCGTGAGGATGCCTGCCAGATGCGAGCCTGTCCAGTATGCAAGTTCGTTGCAGCATGCATGCTCAGGGTACTTGTCGAGCAACTCGCGAAGAAGGTCGCTGCTTGCTCTTGTCGGAACTGGCACGTTGGTGCGAATTATCTTGTCATTGTCAAGGTCCACAAGGCGAGCGGTTTCGAGAACCGTGTAAAGGTATTGTGCAAATTTCTTCTGGTCACCAGCGTGCGGTATGTATGGCAGCTCCTCGCCAGCCTTTGCTGTGCTGAGATCGCAGTCTAGCTTCGAGAACGCCTCGACAACAAGAGCTACGCAAAGCTGGTCCTGTTGAGGTGCGATGGTTTGAAGATACCCAGGGGCACCAAACTTCTCCATGAGCTGGTCAGTCTCCATCTTCGCCTCGCTGAAAGCTTTAATCGCCGCTGATTGAGGCATTTCAAAGTCGAATGGGAAACCAGTGCCGTCTTCAATGACCGACAAGGGCGTAATGGAGCCTTCAGTGCCTTCTTGTTCATCGGCTGAGGAAGATGACGACGAAGACGAGTCACCACTGCTGGATGATATGCCGAGGGAAGACTCGAGACAATGAAGAAGTTCTGGAAAGTTGGTGACGTGAACAAGTTCGTCCTGTGGCAGGGTGCACTTGAACTCGCCCTCAATCTCCCTTGCCATCTCCATGCCCATGAGTGAATCGACGCCAATGTCTGCAAGATCAACATTGCTCTTGATCTCATCAACTTCGAGGCCAGAGATGTCGGCCAAGATTGCCTTGAGTCTCTGGACAATGTCATTGGGAGCGCTTTTTGCCGTTTGGATGGGCTGTTGAGGGATCTCAATCTTTGCGGCGGTGGGGGTAGGGGGAGTAGGAATATCAGCTGATGTCATAAGGACTGGAGCGACACTCTTGAGGGCTGGTGACTGCACCAATCCGGCTTCTTCGCGTGTCAGTCGAGAGAGCAGTCGTCCCATTGATACTCGCGAGACCTTGGCGTACTGAATACCCAAGATGGCCTCAGTCAGGCTTCCTGTTGCAGCATCAAAGATGAAGACATCGGATAGAATCGAAAGTCCGTCTGCAGAGCGTGAGTGCTGTCCAAAGACATGCCACTTTTCAATGGAGCGGGTTTGCGCCTCAGTCATTGTAGGTGCGCGGACCCACTGCTCAATACCATTGGCGATCCACATGTCCTTGTCGTTCTCTTCACCCATGCAGTTGACCCAGATGCCAGCTACCTGGCAGAAAGCATCGGAGAGGAAAGAGTCAAGCCAGCTTTCACCTGAATGCTTCTTGACAACGCGACCAGCAGATTCATTGCCCAATCCGACAAGCTTTTGCAGGCCAAAGTACAAGGGCGAGTAGTTGACGATGGGGGAAAAGACGCGATAGATGGTCCTCTGGCCTTGAAGGACTTCGTCGGGGTTCTCAGAGTGCAGAATTTGCATGCATCGGCGATGGCTGACAAGGCGCTCATATCGGCAGAACTCGGACTGGTAATGAATGTCACTTCCGCTGCGGAACTGTACTTCACCAGAAACGTGGGTTGTAGGCATGCCACCAGACGGGCCGGTAGAAGTCCACTTCCAGCTCCACGTCGTGCGGCTAGCGTCCAAAGCTTCAACATCGAGCCATACGGAGCGCGACTTGTCAACGCATACAGGAACAAGATTGGTCATGCTGCGAATTTGCGGCTGGATGCCATCAGCTGAGAGATGCTGCGACAGACTCTTGACTGCCTCAATCACAATGTCTATCTGCACGGTGGCCGGGCAGATTGGTGCGACGCCAGCAATCGTATGACCTGCGACGATTTCCTCGTATTGAGGAATCATAGTGTTGATGCGGAATTTAGCCAAACACTGCTTGGCGTCTTGGTAACCAACGAAGCTGTATAACTTTGTCGGCAGCTCTTCCTTGTCTTCTACAACAGCAACTGCAAGTTTCGGCGGTGCCTTGAGCTCGAGCCAATGCTTCTTCTTCTCAAACTGGTATGGTGGCAAGAGAAGAGCAGCGTAGTGTTCCGTCTGTGCTCTCGAGTGACCCCAGTAAGTAACGGGGAGGCCAGCTTTCCAAAGTGCAATGGTGGCATCAGTCAGTCGTTGGACTCCCTGCGTGCCAGATAGGTTCACTGCCTGAAAGTGATGAGCTGGGGGCATGTCGAGCGCCTTGCTTGCCATGGATGTGATTGTAGCGTTTGAGCCAGCCTCAAGCCAAATGGCGGATGGGTACTTCTTTGCGAGGCGGTGCGTAGCATGTGAGAAGTACACAGGGTTTCGCAGGTGATCGGCAACAAAGTCTTCATTGAATTCTGAAGATGTCTTCGAAGTATCGATGGACCTTTCAACAGGAATGGTAGCAGGGTTGAAGGTAAGTTCAGCGCCGATTTGCTGGAGCTGGGGTCGAAGTGGTGCAACCAAAGCCGAGTGGAACGCATTGGAAACACTCAATTTCTTGAATCGCAGCTTCGCGTGCTTCTCTGAGATTGTTGCAATGACGGCGTCGATGCTGCTTGCAGATCCTGCGATGGTGTGTGATCTTGGGGCGTTGTAACAAGCAATTGATGCGTCGAGGCTGGGGTCGACATCTTCCAATACCTTCAACACCTCCTCCTCAGTTCCCTCGACAACAACCATGGAACCCTTCTCAGGGCCCCAGCTGTCTCTGATCAGGGTAGCTCGGCGAATGATCAGCTTCAGTGCGTCCTTGAGGCTGAGAACACCAGATGCGCACAGCGCGGTGAGCTCACCAAAGCTGTGTCCGATTACAGCAACAGGCTTCACACCACATTCAATCCAGCACTGAGCAGTGCTGTACTGCAAAGCGAACAAGGCAGTCTGGAGAAGGACAATATCCTCGATGGGCGTGGCTTGGAAGACAGCGGGGTAGATACTCTCAATACCAAGTGAGATAGCGATGGCGTTGCAGCGGTCCATGTGCTGGCGCAAAAGGATATTGCTATCATAGACTGCACGATCGAGATTGATAGTGGTGGACAGCTGGCCGCCAAAGCACAGGATGACGGGTCGGGCTGGCGGAACATCGATCGAAGCGGTGGCTGCGCTCTCTAGCTCAGTGAGCTTGCCAACAAGATCTGGAACCGATCGCGCGCTCAGGATTCGAGCTCGAGGAAGCGTGCGATTGGATTGTCGAGAGACATTGAATGCGAGATCTGCAATGGACGTATTGGGTCTCCGCTTGAGATATTCCTGAAGCTTGGCCGTGTAGGCGCGAATACTCCTGTCGTCAAGACCGGAGAACCAGAACGGATATCGAAGGTCTGCATCGTCTTGAGCAGTTTGAGCAGTGGCGGTGGTCTTCAATCTGAACTTAGGTGCTTGGGTCACAATCATGGAAGCATTGCTTCCACTTGCACCGTAGTTGTTGATGAGAGCAGCCTTGAAGTCAGCATTCCAAGGCTTTGGCTGCAGAGTAATCTGTATGCCATCGCTCTTGGTTGCACCAATTGCTGGGTTCATGACTGTATGGCTAGCCTGAGGTGGAATGGTGGCCTCGTGCAACATGCAAAGCACTTTGACGAGACTCACGGCTCCAGAGCTACCTTCGGTATGGCCAACTAGGCCCTTTACTGAGCCCAGCTGTAGAGGGACAGGCCTCTTGATTCCGTTGTCCTTCTCTTGGCCAAATATGCGACGGATCGCGGCGTATTCTGCTGGGTCACCAACTGGGGTACCAGTGCCATGTGCTTCGACAACCGACACATCCTGTGCGTTCAAGTTGGATGTCTCAAGAACCGATCTGAAAAGGGTAGACAGAGAGGGGGCATTGGGAACTACAATCGGCGTGTCGTTACTATTTTGCGCCACTGCAGTGCCGGAAATGACGCCAATGATCGCGTCTCCGTCCTTCTGAGCTTGAGAAAGAGACTTGAGGAAGACAGCAGACACAGCTTCACCACGGCAGTACCCATCAGCATTTGCATCAAACGGTTTGCAGGGACCAGTTGGGCTGAGGAAAGATGCACCGGCAAGGTTCTGGTAGACGCCTGGCTCACTGATGGTGTTTGTGCCACCAGCTAGTGCAGCAGTAACCTCCCCAGACAGGATGGCTCGGCATGCTGTGTGAA